CTTGCAGACTGGGTTGTCCTCGAAGCGATGATGGTGGTGATGCTCAAGTTTTGTGTCGAAAAAGTTCAAAGCATTTTGAAGGGGAATATCATTAGTCGGCTGACTGCAACGCGCTTGCCACCAAAACCAAGCGGCTTGGCAGAGAGGGAAGTGCAGGCCGCCAAAAAAGAGCTGGATAAGCATAAGGTGGGATCGCGTAAACCAAGATGTCCCGGTGTTTGTTTCAATGCCGCACAGCACCTCGCTGTGTTCTCCAGCAGCATTGTTTCTGGGAGAACGTTGTTCATGGTACTTTTTTAGGTCGCATGGACCCTGATAAAGGCCAGCACGTTCGTGAACGGCAGGCTGCTCAGAAAACATACCGCAGACGGGATCACGTGAACGGGATCTGTCAGTGGGCGACAAGGTGTACGTATCGGCTGATGATCGCCAGGATGATGTGAAGAAGTGCAGCAGGGTACTCGGTCGAATCCTATGCATGTATGGTGAAATTCGCCATCGGGCTCAGCGCCGGCAGAACTGTTGTCAGACACGCCGATCAGGTACGGGGGCGCTACCGTGTCTATCCCGGGCCGCGTGTTTCAAACGCGCCCCTGCTCATCTCTGAATTAGGTCAGTGATGGGCCAGTGACGTCACCACCAGTCCAGGATCCCGTCCCGGCTCTAGCAACGCCCATGCTGGCGCTACCTTCTCCTGTGCTGAGGGTCGCACCGGATCTTATCCCGGGTAACGGCTCTCCTGCGGGGGACTCGGGATACGTGCCTCCGGCGTAACCCCCCGCATTCCGGACCCATCCGCTGCTCCCAGATAGAGCCTTAGGAACCGAGCCGACTGGCGGCATCCCGACTAGTTGTAGGTACAATGTCCCTAATGTGCTTTATCGGAAGGATTAACACGCACTTGGGTGGCCGGTTGGATACGACGCCGCTCGGGTGAAGGGTCAACTTGCTCCCCTTGAGATCTAAAAAAAGATTTAGAACTGGAGATACCAAATTCACAGAATACATAGCCCTACGTATAAACTCAACTTTGTCAAAATTTGAGCTCCCTTGGCCATGAGACTCGAGTCAAACAAGGTCAAACAAGGTCAAATTCCTGATCTATGTCTGAAGTTTGCTTGAATTTATGCAACTACATTTAACCCAGAGCAGGGGCGCGGCCAGAACCTTGGCATGGGGGGCACAGGGTTAACAAAGGGCCCCCTGATGGCAAAAGGGCCTCTACCAAAAACCGCCGGTATGGTCCATTTGTTATTAAAGATATGCTTATATATATATATATATATATATATATATATATTACACATTTCTACCTTCTATAACTGGAATATAGTTCGCGATACCGCGAGATCAATTCTACCTGTAGTTTATAGCATATAATCCGATAAAATCATGCGTTAAGTGACTGCATGAAATAAAGCTCCGGCGCTTTTCATTTAACAATGGTCCAGTGGTCTTTTCTTAAATCGACAGAACTCAGAAACTTTGTCAGAGTCTCTATCTGGGTTGTACGGAGATAGCAAGGAGTCCGCGAATGTGGAATGAAGATCAAAATGGGTCGACCTTTGTATGAACATGACTCGGCCATGTTTGCCTGGATATTTTCAACATTCAGTCAAATATCAGTAGTGATACAAATTATGTAGCGTAGTTCTGAGCATGCTCGCTTGCATATCTTAGCAACAAAAAGTTCGACGCCAGGAGCTGCAGTCTCCTTGAGCGCGCGGCGTCGGCACTGTAGCTAACATTAGACGGTGACCAACAGGTGGATGAAAATGGTGACGCATCTGAAAGAAGTACCTTTGAACGCTTTAGGACACCAAATCGCACTTTTAGAGATATTTCGGGCGCGTGTTTCACCTGCGCAGTTTTTAGATTGATTACATTAACCTATTGGTCTTTACAGCACCGCGAAGTGGTAAAATCTTTCCAGAGAACATCCTCAAAGTTGTAAAAAATTACCCAGTGTAATTTCTGAACTGAGCGCTTAAGTTCAAAAGCCATTCAGAAACATTTTTCACGATTGTCATCGTTGCGCGCTCGGCACCCATCCCCTAGCATTACTTGCAGTGGCCAACGCCATTCGGTTTTACGAAAACCGCAACCCAAATCCTTGCTATCCTTGCCCCCTAAGATTACGGCCGTGTCATTGAGGCTCCATGACGCACTAAGCTGCTGGGGCTATATATATATATATATATATATATATATATATATATATATATATATATATATCCCACTCTTTCCGCCTTTCTCTGGCGGGAAGGGCGGGCATCGCGCGGAATGGAACCCCGTCCCTGTCCCCGTACTGAATCCCGTACCTGTCGTTTCCCAGACGCGCAGTGGTTAACGCAGGTGCGTTCACCACTACACTATTTTCACCCGGTGCGCAGGATCAAACCTTTTGATGGTGTTTGTTTCACTAGTCGATTCTGCAAAATAATGAACGTTCTCAGAGAAACGTGAGATGACCTTGTACGTTTTGGACTCATTTCGATCCATTCCATTCATAGTGTAATCTGGGCAATGAGACCCCTTGTTCCTTGCCGGTACAGGGGCTCCCTTGAGTACAACACTACAGGGCACATTGTTATTCCCGGTCAGGGGCTGAACGGTCATTCTGTCCCACCGCGGCGTGTTTTCCGGCGGTCATTCTGGCGACACGGGGCGGCATCCCTTGGCCGATCCGGCGACCCTTGGAGGTATACATGGTATCACAACAGTCCGCTCCCTGACGCAGGAGTCAACGCCGAATCGACGCATGAGCCGCCATTAACGCAACAGCATCCCTGCCCGCCGTGGGTGGTCAAATTAGTCGCACATAGGCTCCGACTGGGCTTAACGGGCCCATGCTGGAATGGGGTTGGAGGGCCCACCGTTCGAAACTAGGGGTCCTGACTGATACCGCACTTTTCCATTGCCTCATTGTGAGCACTCATAATAAGTTCTTCTGTTTCTTTTAACTGTCAGAGGGCCCCGGCCGACGCAAGAGACCCTCTGCCATTCGGACTCCCGTCCCCGTCCCTGTTGAGCAAATCTTCCACTGATCGATTCGAGGCCCCTTGTTGACACAGAATGCCCTGTTAGGCACTGTGGGCCCCTGAACGATACAGGTGCGCAGCCAATGTAAATCGCGGGCCCGGCCTTATCCCCGCTTGGGAAATGGGTCCCCAGAGCTCAAACCAACACGGAGCCGACCGTTCGTCGCTCGTGTTCTCTGGCCGAAATTGAAGAACGCTCTGTCTCAGGGGTTCCTATCAGTGCAGGGGATCATCTTACTGACATTTGAGAGCACGGCCCTGTGGGTCCACGGTCCTTAATGTGACCTGCAGTCAGTCCTTCGGGCCCTTATACCCTCCAACCGGGCCCCTGATCGTTGGTTCCGGTGGGCCGCCCGGCCCCTCCTCAGGTCTCATTGAACATTTCCCTTGGTCGGATCGGGGCCCTTGCGAGCACAGGGCCCTCTGTTCGGCGCTGTGGGCCCCTGACGGGTACAAGGTCCCGAACAGTGTAAATCACTGGCCCGGCTTTATAGCTGATTGGGAAGTGGGTCCTCAGGCCCATACCGACACGGAGTCGACTGTGTGGTACGGTGGTACCTGGCCGATATATGGACCCATATCGTCTCAGGGCTTTCCCGATTGGCGGAAATGGCCCTCTGGCCGCTATTTGAGGATCTGTGTTCCCAGGTCGGGGCCCCTGAATAAGACTCCGACCAGTCCTTTATGCCCTTGGACACTCCAATCGTAATCTCGATCGTCTGACCCAGTTGGCCCTCTAGGCTCTTTGGACCCCCTCGAACACTATGTCTGGCCAACTCGGGCCCTTTGACAACACAGGGCCCCTGTTAGACGCTGTGGGGTCCCAAGCTATGTAAATCGCTGGCTCGGGAAATGGTCCCTGAGGCTCATGTCGGGAAGCGGGCCCTGCTCGGGAAGTGGGCCCTGAGGCTCATGTCGTCCTGGAGCCGACTGCGCCTTACTGGTAGTGTCTGACCAAAACATAGGCCCTCATCGACTCAGTGGGCCTCTGATGAGCGTGCAGGGCGCTCTGACTGGCATTGGAGCGCCCAGTCCTGCGGGCCAGGGCCCCTGAATGGGACCTCCAACTGGCCTTTTGGGCCCTTAATAGTGGACTCTGACGGGCCCTTCGAGCCCCTCGAAACATAAGAGGGGTGGGGCACGTGCCCCTTGTGCCCTCCTCTCCTGCCTGTGCTGATGACCCAGACGCCTCCGCCAAGTAAAAGTTCACTGGTGTTCACTCCAGGCTAGTGACCGTATTGACCTTCAGAATGCGACGCCGACGAAAACCCTGCAGGGTCGTTTCGGTTTTTGAATTTCAAGATGCGTAAAGGATAAGGTTGGTTCTAAATAAGGTTGGCTGGGGTTTCCTATGTTAGTGACGTCTTCTGAACTTTGTAAACCTTAAATAGCACGTTTGTTAAGCTTTATGTGTTCAAATGTCAATGTGTGTGTTCAACCTCAAGGCAAAGTGCTCAGCAAAAAAGTGATTTCATTTTGAACTCAACCTGAACTTCATACCTGGCCAAAGGTCAATAAGACTAGTTATTATCCTGCATTCAATTGTCCAATTGCCAGAAGAACGCCCCAGAGATGCATGGCTTCATCTGACACTATGTTATCGTATGAGTCAAAGCGATTCCCTGGGTTGTCTGACCTTGACCTGCCACAGGACGTTTGTCTGCTCAATTAGCTACAGCTCAGCAAAGTTTGCCGGGGCAATGCTGAGCAGTCCGGAAGTTTTTTCGGGAAAAAAACCTTCGAGCAGTCAAGTTGACCCCCAAAGGCGTGTAAATATGTATTCCTTAAGCGTTGAAATGGTGCACTAGAAGTATTATCTTTTCCTTTCACCTGTGGCTCGTAAACGGGTTGGAGGAGTATGTAGCAGTCTTTTAAACCAAATGTTTATATATGCTGAAACATTTGCGCATGCGTGTTGGGGAAGCAGCGGGAACCAATCATATCAATCGATAGCCCAGACGCGGTGCTCTGTACGCGCGGGGGCTGGAGTGTGAATCCCCGTTTGAAAGGTGGGGTGGATATAATTGGGATTTGTTTTACCTGCGCAATATGTCTACGGAAGGGCCTACCCAGAAGAAGGTGAAGAAGCTAGATGAATCCGGGGATCTCGAAGAGAGCAGAGACTTTGATGTCGAGACGCAGAAGGCCCTGGAGGAGATCGACGGTTGTCAAAATGAAATCGACGCTCTGAACGAAAAGGCGAGCGAAGAGATCTTGAAAGTGGAGCAAAAGTACAACAAGCTGCGAAAACCGTTTTTTGAAAAGCGGAACGAGATCATTCGAAAGATACCAAACTTCTGGGTGACTGCTGTATCCTTTGGCGCCTCGTGGGTGCCGGTGTCTGCGCCATGATTGCATACAGCGTGGAAGGGGAATGGTTGAGTCATTTGGTGCCTGCAGTGAATGCCATTTAGTTCCTTTACTTTCAAGAATACTATTGTCACATTTACTATGGTCTTCAGATATTGAATGATCCATGCAATTACCTATTCCAGCCATGCATGTTCCCTCATTGCCCAACCACTGTTGGTCAGTGATGTACAGGTCAGGAAGCAGTCCTTCATTGGAGAAGTACATGCCTGAAGTTGCTACCTATGGTGTTACTTGTCTATTCCATGGCAAGCAACTGTGGTCCCAGACTTATGAACTATTGTGATTCATATATGTGCAGTGGCATAGGCCACAAGTTATGGACAACATTTAGTAACACAGAATGATGCCTGGGTTTGTGTTAAATAGGGACTAAGACCCATGTGCTCTTAAGAAGTTTTCAAAAAGAGCAATGTATTAGCATTATTTATGGTCTGTGAGAAAGATTGTATTCACTCAATTTAGTCAGTGTGACATTGGGCACAAGTCCCAGAGGGGGCACTTTAGTAGAAAGTTAAGCCAGGATCTACCAAAAAAGATGAACTTAGACATCATGCTTCTGTGCTGCATCATTGTATGGTGCACAGCGCCTTCCACATACCTGTACAGGGAATGGTGGAGGTAAAATAGCCTGTTTAGATAGAGCACATGATTTGTGTGGTGGGTTCTGAGTATGTACAGCAAGCTGTTCGCAGTAGGCACCTGGTGCAGCAAACCACTCATACAAACCATTTGAAGGGTTTTGACAGAAATGCCCAAAAGATAGCATGATATTTTATGTTAGTTACTGGTGGGTATAGGTAGTGCAGAATGCAGCTTATGGTAGACAACCTGTTCCCCTATAGATAACCCTGACAGTGTGATAACCCTATTCGACATTTCAAAGACACAATAAAAAAATTTAATCCTTGCATGTTCCAGCATGACTTATAAAGGATTAGGTAAGACTGAACTTCACAATAATTTGATTGTGGTATTCCATTATTACTGCAGACATGTGCTTGAATCCTAAGTGTGGGCACAGAATCACATAGGGTACCATGGCTATGGGACCCTAAGATCAGATTCCAGGACCTTTTCATACTCTAGGCACATGCCAGGATATTGTATATGGTTTAAAGTTTGTGGGTGTTCGGCTACACCAGTAAGGTGGTGACAGTGTCTGTCACAGCAACCTACATTGACCTTTCTGCATTTGAACTATGGTAGGGCATCAATAAGAGGACATTTATTGGGAAGGAGGTGTTTGAAATTGTAGCATTTGTGATTTCTTACCAGTGTGATGTAGCAGCTGCCTGGGTGGGGGGTTGAATACCTCTCACTTGAATGGGGGTTGATCCGACCCCCGAGATCTTGAAAATGATGATGACTGGAGACACCAATTCATAGGGTGTCTTGGAATGAAAATATGTATTCTGCATGCTGATGTTACATTGTCTTTGGTCTGTATGTATGGGCTGAGCTGTATATGGCTGCCTTCACACACATTTTCTAGCCTTGCAAAGCAACATGGCATATCTTGTTCACCACACTTCCGCAGTCTGACAGTTGTGCAAGTTTGCATTGTAAAAGAGTAGTTTGCATGCATATGCATGCATATATCTGATTGTTAATAAAAAATACACCTTCATAAGCCTGAGCATTCACTTCCCCCTTGATGACCATGTTTGTGCATGATTGTGCATGATTGTGACAACTGGACACAAGTATGGAGATAATATCCGTGACACAGTTTTGTTTATCCCTTTTTATCACTGATGATTGTATCGTGTGGTTCCTCATGCTTGACATCAGAGAACTGGAAATTTACTGTGCTTTTCAGCTACTGCTTCCATGTGCACATTCACTCAACAAGCAAAGTGGATGAAACATTGTGTATGTGTATTGCCAACCTCATCTTCCACATGGCTTGAAGAATGTTGATAGCCTCAGCATCACAAAAGTGTAAATTAAAAGAAAACAGTAGGTTATTTTATGATGGTGAATAGTTGTGATTCATGCATTTTCATTCAGTGATATGTTATTGAGCATGATGCTGGTTGCATCTGGGATCTTGCTGACACTCTAATTTCATTCCGTTTTGGAGAGCAGTCCATTTTTCGAGTTGTTAATGTTCAGTACTATATCATGCAATTTATACTGATAGCACAATTTCCTCTGCTACACAAACTTCCTATTTTGGTTGAGTTAGTGTCATGATATGTTATCATTGTGTGAGGTTTTTGTCCATCTGCAAGTTCCTTACATTGGAGCTGCAGTTCGCCAACCACCCACAAGTGTCAGCATTGCTAGATGAGGAAGAAGAGGAGTGCCTCCACTTCATGACACAGTTGGAGGTCGAGGAGTTTGAAGATATCAAGTCGGGGTATAGGATTAAATTTCACTTCTCAAAGAACCCATATTTTTCAAATGACATTCTCATGAAAGAATTCCACCTGGGATCATCAGGTACTTGTTTGTGCGCGTCTGCGTGTTACGCGATTTTTATGGTTCTCGTCGCCATAATGCCAAAGCTTTTTTGTACTGTGGTGCATTTGGCGTGGACCAAAACATGTCTTTGAGCGTTGTATGTCGGTTTGTGTCTGTCTGCAGCCTGAGGTTACCTCCTTAATGCTTTCACAATAGCAATAATGCCTAGAGCTGCACACATGAATGATGTGGCATGTGACATGATGAGAGTCAATAGCCATCAGTCATAGGTCTCACGGCACTGACTTGACTACTGCACCCCATCCAATCACCATTGATTGCTGTTGCAGTGCCTGACATACACCACTTTTTCAGATCCGAAGTCAGAGTCGACGAAGATCAGCTGGACCGAGGACATGAACCTGGTGAAGAATGCCAGGAGTCGGCAAGAGAAAGTGAAGCAGGGCCGGAAACGCGGCCTGGACGTCAAGTCCTTCTTCCTCTGGTTCGAGGACCACGAGGACCCGTCCCAAGATGACATCGCTGAGGTCATCAAGGATGACATGTGGCCCAACCCACTGCAGTATTTCCTCGTGCCCGACATCGAGGTGGAGAATGGCGTCGAGGAAGAAGAAGAGTAAGTTTGTGTCAAACTGGTGTGCTTTGCTTGGTTATGGTGCAGACGTAGTGCGGGTGCATTCTTTTTAGAAGGTAACTAACAGACAATTCGCGGTGTTTGGAAAGTGGGTCAAAATCATGCAATGAATAGCTGCTCTCTGTACACATTGGTAGTCTTTCAGCAGGAGAAAGGTGGCTGTTTTGTGGGCACTTATTTTCTGTATGGGTCCTGCCCGCTGTCGTGGCTGGTGTGACCTTGAGCTCGGTCAGCTTGCTGGCCCGCGGACATCCAATGGGAGTGGACCTGGTGGAGACGTCATGTCTGGCATCATCCTGGGCCGCATGTAGGTCTCGAAACATTAATTGTTTTGCGAAAATCGGTACTAGTAGTTTGATTTTGACTGTTGTGGCTAAAGAACCAGTGATGGGGATGCGGTTCAGTGATAATATGACATATTTTCTCGAAAAGTGACGTGGCAGTGGGTGTGATCGACGTAATAGAGGTAATTAGGTCTGGCTTAAACAGATGCATAGGATTTTGTTTGAATCAAGGCTTTTTATTCTGAACTGTGATACCTAGCTAGGTTATGTTGTCACTGCTTGCAACACTCATTTCCGTGATAGATGATACTTGCATTCAACAGCAGCTGCTATCCAGTACCTTTTGACTTTGACCAGCAGCAAATCCTCTGTCAACTATGTACCACACCTCGGGCCACGAAACAAGCTCCTCGCGTGCCTTGTGGCGGCAGAGAATCATGCAGTCGGGACCCTCGAGTCCCCGTGGCTTGAGTCAGTCGCAGGTGGTCATAGCTAGCCACGGACTGGTCGCCAAGGCAACGGTGCTCTGACATGATGACCGGCCTGTTTCAGGGGCGACGTGGACGAGAGCGTGGTGGTGATGGAGGAGGAGGAGGACGACGGAGAGGGCGACGAGGAGGATGAGGGTGAGCGCGCCTGGCAGTAACCTTTAGATTAGCAAGAGTTCACCATTTTGATGTTGCAGTTTCCATTTGCTCCGCGTGGGAATGGCGAGGTAACACTATGCACGCAGTTCTGATGCTGCTCATTAGCCTGGAATTTATATTTGTGTTGTGTTATCAGCATGCATGAAGTTTAAGATATATTGGATACAGCTCCCCCCTCCCCCCCCCCACACACACATAATGTTGAGGGGCAGGGTGCAATAATGGTATGTGAACATAATACCTCCTCTAAAATATCAGTAGGAACAAAATCACTACAAAGTCACAAATCCTGGCAGTGAGAAAATCTGGTTTCCCTCCCCATCCAGTGGTATTTGGTGACTCATTGCGTAGTTATCAGCACGACGTTGCACATTCTGTCATAGCAAATGTGAGGGTCCTGGCCCATTGCAAGGAAATTAAGATGATATTACAATAATTATTGACACGATATTCATTAAGAAAGTTTTATTTTTGATGATCAAGGATGCAATTTTTAACGAGTATCACGCACATAACTTTTGTAAGGTCATCCTATTTGCCTTTGACATACTTGCCATGCCTTACATTGCACAAGTACTGTACCAGCGTAGGGTCTCCTGTGGTGTGTTCATATCTGTTACCCTGTTAACATGGGCAGCCGAGGGCAATTCGAATTAAGATCGGAACGGATCATGCGACATGAAACCTCTCGCAGAGGTGTACATGGGCGAGACCGGCTTTACGTCGAATTAACGGTCAATTACCCGGTTTACATGGGCAGCCGAGGATAATTCGAATTAAGATCGGAACGGATCATGCGACGTTAACCCTCTCGGCGAGGGGCGTTTACATGGGCGAAACCGGCTTTACGTCGGATTAACGGTCGATAGTTCGATCCCGCTTAGTTCGAACCAAGGAACGGGTTATGGGCGAAAACTGCGCTTTTGAGGCGAACTGAACAAAACAAGAAGAAAAAAGCCGGTACTCTGCGTATGGATGGCGAATGTCACGAGCCATGGTGGGCGCGAGACAGCTTTGAGGGCGAGGAGGAAGATGGACTCCGTTGGAAAAATGATCTGTGCGGGACTCATAGGCTTTGTAGCTACGGCACAAGCCATAGCACTTGAAACACAGGAGTTGCGCAGTCAGCACTGCCAAATCTGTCACATAAGCAGTGTTATATGCAAATTTTTACTAGCAGGAAACTGGCTAGCACGAAATCAGTATTTTCTTGTATTGGCCAATGACACTCACAAACTTACCACACTCATCAGTATGCCACCCAGCATCACGTCATCTACTTTGCGCAGCCCAAGAAACACATTACCTAATCCCGCACCAATGCATTTATGAGCAGCCTGCAACAGTGAGCTAAGCCACAGAAATGACTCATGAATGCTACATAGTTAGTGGCAAAAATTGTTTAACTATGTTGTCTTTCCCCATCCAATGCATCATCAGTACCTGAGGGCAGCATTGCCATTTAGACTTGGCATGGACTGGCAAGTCAGAATGCAGCTATTTGCTTTCTTGACATACTAGGGTTGAAATACTGCTTTGATATCCTTGCAGTCAACAGCATTGGCTGATATGGACTGATGGCTAGGTGGCACAAACAGCCGTGTTCGCACAGTCCAAAGATCATGACGTGAACCAGCCCCAGAGCTGTCATGACAAAAGCAATCTGGGCTCAAAATTCATAACAAATGATTAATTATAGCAACAGCTCAATTATCCACCTCATGGTTTGCAAAGATACATGTCACAAAAAAGCACCGAGGCAACGTATTTACTCACCAGTACAAAAACAGGTAATGATGTGCACTGCAGATGTTCTCTGCACATCATGTGGCATTAGGTTAGGTTTACTTAGTTTATGCACTGTTTTCTTCCACATGAAATGCACAAACCTGGATTTGACAGAGTACTGATGACAGCTAATTTCATCCAGTGCTCACATTTGCTTTCTTGACATTTTGGAACCATCACTGGGCAATTTTGGTCCCATCATTAAAAATAGTTCACATTCTGCACTGACTGCAATGATCTATTGCCTATATTTGTTGGTTCTTTGCATCATGCAGGAATTATTGAGTTACCTATCTCACACACATTAAACTGACAAGCAACAAACAGCCTAATTGCATCAAAAACAACTATTCCAGCCCCCGCTTCCTTGCCAGTTGGTCTACCAGTGTGACGTAACTTCATATTTCCTTGACAAGCCAGTCACCAATATCCAGCACATCCCTCCTGCCAATAGGTGGTCAACCAAATGTTCAAGTCACAGGAGGAATGTCTGCAAAATCAATCCTGGGGCATTTATGTATTCACCTAATGAAAGAAACTATTGGTACTCCCTGCAAGAATTGTTGAACAGTTGAATTACCTACCTAGTGGCCTGCAAAGACACCCATCACAAAAAAGCACCAAGGTGACATATTTAATCACCAGCACAAAAACAGGTGATGATATGCAACACAGACGTGTTCTCCATGCGGCATGTGCCATCGTGTTAGGTGTTAGTTTATGCACTGTTTTCCTGCACATGGAACACACAAACTTGGATTTAGCAGAGTAATGATGACAACTATTTTCATCCAGTGTTCACATTTGCTTTCTTGCTGTTTTGACCCCATCATTGGGCAATTTCGGTCCTACCATTAAAAAAGTTCACATTCCGAGCTGACTGCAATGATCTATATTTGTTCATCCGTCATATCATGCAGCAATTTTTAAGCTACCTTTCTCACACAAATTAAACTGACAAGCAACCAGCATCCTAATTTAAGGAACATCTGCAAAAACACTCCTGGGGACTTAAGGTATTAACTTAATGAATGAAACTTGGAGGCATTCTCTGCAAGAATTTTGAGCAATCCAAAAACTAAAATGAGAACAAGTCAAAGCTATATAAAATAACCATATTACCTCCATCTGGCTTTTGGACGCATGGAGCCTGCCCCAGATGTAAACTAATCTAACCTTTAGGCGGAAAGATAGCACCAAACACCGTCGACGCCTGCTGTCTGCATAGATCAAGCGCCTAGCAAGGCTAAATTACGTGAGCATTTCTGTGCTGCTAGCCACTCAAGGCCCTCAATAATAAGAGTAGTTTTAGCAGCATGATGTCAACTTCACCTTCCTTCTCTTTTCCCTTACCATCTTGGACTTGAACCATCTCGAGTAATAGCTAAAAACCCGTGGAAAAGCGGTAACACCGCACAAAGCTGAAATGGCTATGAACAGAACTGCGTGCGCCAGGCATTTTTCTTTTTTTTTTGTTTAGACAGCTGACGGCCGATAATTCGGACGAAATCCCTTCCTGAACGGATGATCCTCTCACGGGAAGGGATTTCCTCCGGCGCACGATTCGAATCAGCGGAACGGCGCGTGAGTTACCCGGTTTACATGGGCAGCCGAGGATAATTCGAATTAAGATCGGAACGGATCATGCGACGTTAACCCTCTCGGCGAGGGGCGTTTACATGGGCGAAACCGGCTTTACGTCGGATTAACGGTCGATAGTTCGATCCCGCTTAGTTCGAATCAAGGAACGGATTATGGGCGAAAACTGCGCTTTTGAGGCGAACTGAACAAAACAAGAAGAAAAAAGCAGGTACTCTGCGTATGGATGGCGAATGTCACGAGCCATGGTGGGCGCGAGACAGCTTTGAGGGCGAGGAGGAAGATGGACTCCGTTGGAAAAATGATATGTGCGGGACTCATAGGCTTTATAGCTACAGCACAAGCCATAACACTTGAAACACAAGAGTTGCGCAGTCAGCACTGCCAAATCTGTCACATAAGCAGTGTTATATGCAATTTTTTACTAGCGGGAAACTTTGGCTAGCAGGAAATCAGTATTTTCTTGTATTGGCCAATGACACTCACAAACTTACCACACTCATATCAGTATGCCACCCAGCATCATGTCATCTACTTTGCGCAGCCCAAGAAACACATTACCTACTCCCACACTAATGCATTTATGAGCAGCCTGCAACAGTGAGCTAAGCTACAGAAATGACTCATGAATGCTACATAGTTAGTGGCAAAAATTGTGTAACTATGTTGTCTTTCCCCATCCAATGCATCATCAGTACCTGAGGGCAGCATTGCCATTTAGACTTGGCATGGACTGGCAAGTCAGAATGCAGCTATTTGCTTTCTTGACATAATAGGGTTGAAAAACTGCTTTGATATCCTTGCAGTCAACAGCATTGGCTGATATGGACTGATGGCTAGGTGGCACAAACAGCTGTGTTCGCACAGTCCAAAGATCATAACATGTGAACCAGCCCCAGAGCTGTCATGACAAAAGCAATCTGGGCTCAAAATTCATAACAAATGATTAATTACAACAACAGCTCAATTATCCAGCTCATGGTTTGCAAAGATACATGTCACAAAAAAGCACCAAGGTAACATATTTACTCACCAGTACAAAAACAGGGAATGATGTGCACCACAGATGTTCTCTGCTTATCATGTGGCATTATGTTGGGTTTACTTAGTTTATGCACTGTTTTCTCCCACATGAAATGCACAAACCTGGATTTGACAGAGTACTGATCACAGCTATTTTCATCCAGTGCTCACATTTGCTTTCTTGACATTTTGGAACCATCACTGGGCAATTTTGGTCCCATCATTAAAAATAGTTCACATTCTGCACTGACTGCAATGATCTATTGCCTATATTTGTTGATCCTTTGCATCATGCAGGAATTATTGAGTTACCTATCTCACACAGATTAAACCAACAAGCAACAAACAGCCTAATTGCATCAAAAACAAATATTCCAGCCCCCGCTTCCTTGCCAGTTGGTCTACCAGTGTGACGTAACTTCATATTTCCTTGACGAGCCAGTCACCAATATCCAGCACATCCCTCCTGCCAATAGGTGGTCAACCAAATGTTCAAGTCACAGGAGGAATGTCTGCAAAATCAATCCTGGGGCATTTATGCATTCACCTAATGAAAGAAACTATTGGTACTCCCTGCAAGAATTGTTGAACAGTTGAATTACCTACCTAGTGGCCTGCAAAGACACCCATCACAAAAAAGCACCAAGGTGACATATTTAATCACCAGCACAAAAACAGGTGATGATATGCAACACAGACATGTTCTCCATGCAGCATGTGCCATCGTGTTAGGTGTTAGTTTATGCACTGTTTTCCTGCACATGGAACACACAAACTTGGATTTAGCAGAGTAATGATGACAACTATTTTCATCCAGTGTTCACATTTGCTTTCTTGCTGTTTTGACCCCATCATTGGGCAATTTCGGTCCTACCATTAAAAAAGTTCACATTCCGAGCTGACTGCAATGATCTATACTTGTTCATCCGTCATATCATGCAGCAATTTTTAAGCTACCTTTCTCACACAAATTAAACTGACAAGCAACCAGCATCCTAATTTAAGGAACATCTGCAAAAACACCCCTGGGGACTTAAGGTATTAACTTAATGAACGAAACTTGGAGGCATTCTCTGCAAGAATTTTGAGCAATCCAAAAATTAAAATGAGAACAAGTCAAAGCTATATAAAATAACCATATTACCTCCATCTGGCTTTTGGACGCATGGAGCCTGCCCCAGATGTAAGCTAATCTAACCTTTAGGCGGAAAGATAGCACCAAACACCGTCGACGCCTGCTGTCTGCATAGATCAAGCGCCTAGCAAGGCTAAATTACGTGAGCATTTCTGTGCTGCTAGCCACTCAAGGCCCTCAATAATAAGAGTAGTTTTAGCAGCATGATGTCAACTTCACCTTCCTTCTCTTTTCCCTTACCATCTTGGACTTGAACCGTCTCGAGCAATAGCTAAAACCCGTGGAAAAGCGGTAACACCGCACAAAGCTGAAATGGCTATGAACAGAACTGCGTGCGCCAGGCATTTTTCTTTTTTTTTTTGTTTAGACAGCTGACGGCCGATAATTCGGACGAAATCCCTTCCTGAACGGATGATCCTCTCACGGGAAGGGATTTCCTCCGGCGCACGATTCGAATCAGCGGAACGGCGCGTGAGTGTATACATGGGCCGGATAGTTCGGATCGAGGACGGGTCCCGGCTTAATTCGAATCACAGCTGCCCATGTAAACAGGGTAAATGTATACATGGGCCGGATAGTTCGGATCGAGGACGGGTCCCGGCTTAATTCGAATCACAGCTGCCCATGTAAACAGGGTAAATGGTTCGATCCCGGTTGGTTCGAATCGGGAACGGATTATGGACGAAAACTGCGCTTTTGTGACAAACTGAAAAAAATGCCGGTACTCTGCGTATGGATGCCGAATGCCAAGAGCCATGGTGGGCGCGAGACGGGTTTGAGGGCGAGGAGGAAGATGGACTCCGTTCGGAAAACGATCTGTCCACGACTCATAGGCTTTACAGCCACAGCACAAGCCATAACATTTAAAACACAAAAGTTGCATGGTCAGCACTGCCCATATAGTTAGCCTGCCAGCACTGCCCATATAGTATCATATCTGCCCCATAGTTACTGTGGCATGAAAATTTTGCTATTGGACCTAAGACATGTGAACATTGTGCATTGCAAAGAGCACGATCACAGGAATTCGCACAAAACAGGAAAAGCTGATTTACAGATATTCCAGCATATATTTCTCCTAAAGTCAGTTTCTTTGATCACAGGTTTGCAATGAAGAATGACAAGGAAGTGAACTGGTAAATAAAACTATAAGCTGCTTCATGGCAATGGCAGAGATGATGTTAAAGTAACATGTGTTAGACCATCCATACATGACAAGAGCTTCAAAAAGTGCAAGCAAGGCTACTGCTTCCCATTCTGCAATATAGATCATGGCTTGATGTTTTGGTTAACATTATTTAGGATGACATTTAAGATACACCTGGAGCCTGTGACACCTGAATATTTGCTGACATGCAAGGGCTAGCACAAAATCAGCATTTTCTTGCATTGGCCAATGGCACTCGCAAACTTACCACGCTCTGATCTGATGGGCCACACAGCATCATGTCACGTACTTTGCCTAGCCCCAGAAACATATTACCTACTCCCACAATAATGCATTTATGAGCAGCTTGCAACCTTAGGCTAAGCTACAGAAATGACTCCTGAATGCTACACAGTTAGTGGCAAATTGTGCAATTATGTTGTCTTCGCCCCTCCAGTGCAGCATCAGTACCTGAAGGCAGCATTGCCATTCAGACTTGGCATGGACTGGCAAGTCAGATTGCAGCTATTTGCTTTCTTGACATACCAGGGTTGAAATACTTTGATATCCTTGCAGTCAACAGCATCAGACTGACATGGACTGATGGCTAGGTGACACAAACAGCTGTGTTTGCGCAGTCTAAAGGTCATAATATGTGTCATGAGACCTGTGTCATGACGACAGCAATCCTATCTCGAAATTCATAACAAATTATTCATTATGACAACAGTTGAATTACATACCTCACAGCTTGCAAAGACACTCATAAAATAGCACCAAGGTAACATATCTGCTCACCAGTACAAAAACAGGTAATAAGATGCACCACGGACATGTCCTCTGAGCAGCACGTGCCTTGGTGTTAAGTGTTACTTCATTTGTGCATGGTTTTCTTCCACATAAAGTAACAAACCTAGATTTAGCAGAGTACTGATAACAGCTATTTTTGTCCAGTGTTCACATTTGCTTTCTTGATGTTTTGAAATCATCATTGGGCAATTTTGGTCCTATCATTAAAACTAGTTCACATTCCGAGCTGATTGCAATGATCTACATTTGTTGATGCTTTGTATCATGCAGGAATTTTTAAGTTACCTTTTTCACGCAAATTAAACTGACAAGGAGCCAACATCCTAATTGGAGGAGGGGCCTTTAGGTATTCACTTAATGAAAGAAACTTAGAGGCATTCTCTGCAAGAATTTCGAGAGCAATCCAAAAATTAAAGTGAGAATGAGTCAGAGGTATATAAAATGACCATGTTACCTCCATATGGTTTTTGGAAGCATGAAGCCCGCCCCAAATGTAAATTGATCTGACCTTGAGACGGAAAGATAACACCAAACACTGCTGACGCCTGCTGTCTGGATAGATCAAGCGCCTAACAAGGTTAAATGATGTGGACATTTCTGTGCTACTAGCCACTAAAGGCCCTCAATAATTAGAGTACGTTTAGCAGCATGGTGTCAACTTCACCTTCTTTCCCTTTTTGTTTTCCATATTGAACTTGGATCGTCTTGAGCAATAGCTAAAAATCCGCGGAAAGGCGGCAACACCAAACAAAGCTGAAATGGCTTCGATCAGAACGGCATGCCCCAGGCAGTTTTTCGGACAGCTGACCACCGATAATTCTAACGAAATCCCTTCCCGAACGGATGATCCTCTCACAGGAAGGGATTTCCGCCTGCGCACGATTCGAATCAGTGGAGCGGCGCGTGAGTGTGTACATAGGCCGGGTATTTCGGATCGAGGACGGGTCCCTGCTCGATTCGAACCACAGCTGCCCATGTAAACAGGGTATGTGCTTCGCTGGCGTCAAATCTACTGGTGCCCACAAATATTACTCTGGTAACCTGGGCTGAGTGGCGCGGTGGGTTGCTGTAGACCTGCGCACTGCTTGCGCCGAATGTTTTTTTTTATTGCTCAGCGGCTGCCGGGCATGCCGTCACGTGTATCAGACGGGACCAGACAGCGGTCATGTCCGGTCGCACGCCGTGATGCATGCGGGCCACATCTAACGCCCGACTGTTAACCTGCTGCTTTCTCGGACTGTTTGCTGTACCTGCTTTTGAGAGCTCCCGCCCTTCACGCGAAACGCTGTCCAAAACGTGTGCCGTGAAGTCGCCCCATGCACCTGGCGTTTGCTGGCCCCTGCATCACATGCTGCCGACGTGCCCCCGTCCGTCGTGGCGCGCTCGCCGCCGGCGGCCTGACACGGCCCGGCCGTCCGCAGAGGGTCTGGAGGACGAGGAGGACGAGGCTGACGACGAGTGAGGCAGCCGCCGGGGGACGAGCGAGGACGAGCAGTCGCGGACGCGGCGACCAGGCCGCCGGAGCGGGGACGGTGCCGCCGGCGATTTCTGAACACTTGCGTACCGACAAAGCCAATTCATTTGTACATACTCAGGACTGTCATGTCGTGCGGTACCTTTCCAGCTGCTGGCGACCCGCCCGTTTTTGTTGGTTTGTTTTTGGACGGCGATATTTTTATATAATATCCGAGGGCTCTGGTGCTGGCGACGGAATCCATCCAGACGCGTCCAGCCGGAGCCCGGGTGGGTGTCGCGCCTGTACCGTTGCAACTAGGAAATAAAACAAAACGCTAGTTGTACTCCTCGGTGGTCTGTTGGGGCTTTGATGCGACCGAATGCTGCCTGGTCGAAATGGGCGTGTGTGGCTCCAGACTAGCCCGCCGTGGGTGCTGACGTGTTTGTGGAATTTCGTTTGGCTTGCGCTGCACGTGCCACGCGCTGCGGCGTCAGCTGGAACGCATCGGGTAATGGCGCGGACGGCTGCGGAGGCGCCGCAAATAAGTGTGCACTAAGCTGTTCTTGTGAGGCGTTTTGCTGACGTTTGCTCGAATGCTATGCAGAGATGGATTGGGCTCATAACCTGCTAAGTACAGACTTGTGAAGACGGCAACCCCACCATCCAGGGAGAAGAATCTCAATCCGATGGGCGAGGTTTACGCAAGCGTTTAGAAGTGACGTAGTGGCCAGTAGCCCAATCACCGTGACCGGTGCTGTTCGGTCAGGCTTGCTTCCCTAAAGCACAGTGAAGTCTGGATTGGAAAAAGATGTAGCGAGGGTTGAAAAATATGTTGAGATGCATGGAGACATGGGGCGAGCCCGTTTGAAGCCTGTGGGGTGAAAGCAAGTGTAACAAACTTGTGACCATCCGCGGCTGTCGTTTTCTCTTGTGCTATCATGGTGGTCGAAAGTAGGAGTATGTACCGCGCTAGGAACCGCAACTACTGTATCTGCAACAACTGCATCTCGCAGTAACGAGTTTGCAGGAGAAATATCGCTGACCTTCGACGGACTTCCATGTGCTGCGTTCAGGATCACGCGACCGGGCTTTGTCGGCTTTTACGTAGGTGGCAGTGCGGTGCATTATAGGCGGCGTTGCTGTCGGCGGGACTTCTTTTCACTGTTTGGCGCCGACCAGGTGAGTAATTTGCCGTGTTCAGCGTGGTAATCTGCGGTGTCTTTCCACATTTAAGCCTCGCCGCAGACGATGAAGTCACTTCTCGCTGAGTCACGAAAGCGGATAGCGTGTCCCGCGCTTCATGCGTAAGTTACCTCAGGAGCACTGCCCGCTGTCGGAGCGGCCGCGAGCGAGGGGCTCGTTGTGACGTCCTTGTGCCGTTCTCCCAAGATGATATGCGTCTTGCGACGAAAACCGGATGTCGTCACGACATTTACTTTCTGGGTCTAGTCACACATTTGGTCTTCACTCATAACATGCGTAAAGCAGGGGCTTGGTTTGCTATGTCATCAATACGCCTATGCGCTGATGGACGGCAGTGTTGCCGTAACGCTCATCAATCATCTTCAACGCTCATTCTCAACGCTGAGGTACGCCCATTAACACGCGCCCGGGTGGCCGGCTAGATGCCCTTCGCTCGGGTGGAGGGGGGGGGGGGGGGCGGGCAGTTTGACCCCCTGAGATCTCGGGAACTAAGGAAGCTAGAGGTACCAAATTTACGGGGTGTGTTGACCTGTACGCGAACTCACTTAGGTCAAAGTTGCAGGTTCCTAGGTCATGACCTTGGGCCAAAAAAGGTTAAACAAGGTCAACTTCCAGGTTGATCTCCAAAGTGCCCCGCGAACCTAGATAACCGTTTCTAAGCAAAAGATCGCATGCTCATTCAGGGCCAGTGACTGCTCGACCTTTTGAATGTCAGGGTTACCAAAATCATACAAGACTGCTTTGAATTTTGCATTTGACTAAGCGAGAAAGATTACACTAGGCAGTGTGTGCCTAAATAAAAAGTGTCGACTTGGGTCATTTTAGGCCAATGACCTATTCTGACCTGTAAGAAGTCCATGGAAGATGTATAATGCGGTTCCTGCTATCAATAAATTGTAAATGAGCACCAGAAACTATCCCATACAGCAAACCCTTAAGTAACAAAACAGGTTGGTTTTTACCTTGGTGTGACCTTCATAACTGACCTTAGGTGAATGTGATTTTCAACATTTCAACACGCCCATTCAACTGTTGTGTCGCCTAAGAAAGCATTTCAGAGACGTATGGCTTCGCTTAACACTCCGCTGTTGGATCAGACTGAAGGATTCCTTAGGATTTGACTTTGACCTGAGCTGTTATGGCCCTTTTCAGGTGCGCAAGAGCAGTGAGGGCTCCTGAGGTCCAAGCGGCTTCGATGGCGCTTTATATATTTTAATATAGCAAGCTCAACTTTTCCGAAACACTCTATGGCACCTTTGCTATCGACCCCACTGGTGGTTACATGCCGGCGCCCTCCATGCCCTCCCGGTGGCATGAGGATGTGCCGGTATGTGGGTTGATGTCGAGTACAGTCGCGGGATGGAAGGGAGCATTCCAGTTACGTAGAGGCTCCAACTAAACTCATGAGCGGTCTACGCCACGCCAAATTTTGGTTTTGCACGGTTTCGTGGGGGGGGGGGGGGGGAGGGGGCACTAAGCCTTTGCGCCGGCAGTTTTCCCGGAATAACTCCCAAATGATACGATGCAGCAGCGTTAGGTTCGCATATCTCAATTGAATAGCCGATAACAAACGACAATAACGACAAATGAATAGCCGATGTTTTTTTTGTATAAACAGATTGATACATCTCGTGAAGTCAGGCCACGGCTGTCTGCCGAGGAACTTCTTAAAGCTGATGCGAGTCTTTGAGCGAGTCTTTGACGATGTCATGTGCTACTTTAACGCGAGCCCTTACAATTGGTCAAATGAAATTAGGTACTTTCACTGACCTTGGACCAGGTATTATGCATATATGTGTGTATATACATATATATATATATATATATATATATATATATAGTTATATAGATATAGATATAGATATAGATATATATATATATATATATATATATATATATATATATATATTGAGGCCGGAAGGACTCATTTTCAATTCGTTCACCGCCAGCATGTTAGATGACTTCTTATTTTGACTTCATAAAGCTTAGGCGATGTCATTGACCTTAAATGATCCTGTTCCACATTTGAAAAAAGAAGCATGCAGACTAGGTAAGTTCATCAGGCTTTCAGTAAGAATATCAGAATAATTCCGAATAGCTCGTCACCACTGACACGTTTACTTGAAGCTTTGAATGGTCAGATAGTTGCTGACCTGACATGACCATTGGGTAATCTTTTGCTTACATTAAGAGGTTTGTCAATGCTGATTGCGTGACGAGGTATTTCGTCACTTCAAATGCTGCCATTCCACTGGCCATGCCGTGTTCAAGGTCAAGAAAGACAATTTCTGAATCGTTCATAGCTGGCGTTCGTGAGCACGATTTCCAGATACGACGGCCGCCAACTGGCTCTCAACCATTGTTTTTTCTTAAGCTGCGCGAGATTCTGACACGAATTTTCGTTTTGTACTACATAAGAAAATAAAATATACGTTTTACTTAGTTGTTACGGAAATAAGAGCTGCAATGGAGTAGCTTTCTTTTCTTTTCCACTCTTTCCACTTTTCCATTTAAAAGCATACATGTAGCCGTAGGTGTGCTAATTTCATAATATTTGATGCACTTCAGTATCTCTAAATGTGGAACATCCGCTGCATTCCCAACAGAGAGTGAACGGACCGCAATACATCCTTGATATCAGAGAGGCTTGACTCCGGTGTCCTTCAATGTTTGTTATCATTAGTGGCATGCTTGCTTGGCGTTAGGGCTGGAGATCTCCCCACCCATGACTTGTCATGTAGTCGTTGACCCCTCAACTGAGTGTTTCGAACCATAGATAACTTCCCCAGTCTCGTGGCCCAATAGCGAAAGGTGGGAATCGAGCCCGTTTGGTGCCGCACCGCCTAAACCGCTGCGCCTGCCGCTCACTGAACGCCGAGACAGACGTCTTCATCGTGATGCCACCGGGGCGATTAGCGAACGCGCAAGCGAGTGAGACTGCTGGGCTTCGGTCGAGTTTTCCCCCTTTGCCCTCTTGTCGATGAGCATGCTTCTCAAGTGTGATCGACCGGAAATGCGCTGTTTTCACCAATCCTAAATCGACTCCAGTTTAATTAGTCCAAATATAGATGTATTGGCACATTAACATCCATAACTTGGCGTTCAACATCTAAGTACATTTCAATCAATTTAGCCTGGTCAATTTCGTAATCAAGTGCCGTCCGAAGTCATGTGCCTTGGCAATTTTCCGACTCAGACCCGTCCAATTCTTGGATTGCTCTTAACTCACGGATTTCTCGTCACATGATGTCTGTTAGAAAGTCGGGGAAGTAGAGGAGGCAGAGGACAAAGCATAGAGCATGAGCGCGCCGGAGCGCTGTCGCGGTCATCTTCCGTTCCTACTTTTGTTCCACATCCGATGTGACAAAGCGCCACAAATGTTATTTTTGCTCCCTGCACTCAGTGCGACCTTAACACAGGCCATGTGTTGGTGTTACCTTTTATCATTAAATGCTAGTTAGGATAATTTTAGCGGAATTTCGCCGGATCTTTTGCAAGGAGATCGGTGTGCTTGCTGAGCATGGTTTGTTGCTGATATTCTACACCAATGGCGAAAGAAAGGGCGACTTGCGATGCGCCCCCAACATTGCATGTAAATGGCTCGTATAATGCATTTTAATCCTGACGCCTTCGGGCTATCGAGCTTGAGAAAAGGAATTTAAAAAAATTTGTCCCGCCTTAACAAAGCATTTAAATGAAACGGTTGATCTCCAGTGCCAAATTAAATTTTGAAGATAGTTCAATTCGCTTGCTCAGACTTTCTAACCTCGCCCAATTTCAATATAGTTCTCGCACTTTATGCTCTTACATCTCGCGCCGTGACACCAATTCCTCTCCGGCGGATAATTTCCGACCGGCCGTGACGTGTGTCACTACGCTGTGACGCGGCCACCATTGGTTCCGACCGGCTCTCTGAGCCAGATGCCGACAGGCCGTCAAAGCTGCGCCGCATACGCGCGGTCTGGGGCGTCAGCCGACATGTCGGCCACACATGTCGGCCACACATTGTCCGACACTCTACAGCTGAGCCGCACAGAAAGGCGAGAGCCAGGTCGTACGACGCTTTTTGTCAGCCGCGGTCTCCCTCGAGCTTTTCAAACAAGGTCTCAGTAGAGTGTGTTCGAGTCAAAGTAGTATGCATTG